CCCAACCCCCCCCCCCACACCAGAGCTCCTTTTGAACCACTATCTTGTTAACCAAGGCGCAATTGTTGCCTATTGGCATATACAAACAGTATGTTTGTATTGTAATATTGTCTGATATATCTGCAAATTATGCAAAAAATAAAAAAAAAATTATAAAATGAATTACATAAAACATTATAGCGTTGATATTCCATGATATTGAAAAAATTTCTATTTCTTCCTCGCACAAATTAGGACAGAGGGAGTAACGATATGGTTTTGCCACGTAAGAAGAATAAGATAAAAGTATAAGGGTAAGATATGTCCACTGATATTGCACAAAACTTTTTAAGAATATTGAAAGTTTAATTAAAATTTATAGCATGTTTAACCAAGCTTTCAAAATATGGTCATTTAAAAATGCTTTTTGCCATAGGTGCTTTTCTTTTTGATAACTAATAATTTTATTAATCATAATGAGATTTTAAAACAATACAAAACTTTAGCACAACTATAACTCGGCTAACAAAAGGAAAAAAAGTAAAAGATCTCTGAACTCTCCTAATCTAATCCTACTCCTCTAGAGCTCGATTACTTCTAAAATAGGAAAAGAAAACTTTATTATGAAGCTTTGGACTAGTTTTTCTTATTCCATATGAAGCTCTGATGTTACAAACGTATACAATCTCCCGTGTGATGCTTTTCCATCCAGTAACTCTCTTCTCAAATATTCTCTTGTTTCTCTCCATCCATATTGCATATATCATTTTAAAAGTTTGAGCTGTCTGACTCATTCCCTTAGTAGCTTTGATGGCCCACTGCAGGTGTTGTTCCCAGTTACTTCCCTGGAATGTGTCTCCTTTAGCCCAGTCAAGTATTTTTGCCCATATCATTCTTGCAAATTCACATTCTACAAATAAATGATCTCTTGATTCTTGGTGGTTGTGACATAGGCTACAAGTTGGATCTACTCCTAGTCCCCATTTCATTAGTCTATCTATAGTCAGCAACTTACTATGTAGCATTAGCCACAAAGTGAATCTAGATTTTGGTCGTGCACCATTCTTGAACATTAGGCACTCCCAGAAGCTGTAAGTATATCTGCCTGATCATGCTCTTCTTTGGATTAAACTTATAGTGTATCTGGTTCAATTTATCTTTGGAGTTGATTGTCGCGCCCCCTTTTTCTCGCAAAATCGGGTTTATGACATTTGGGAGGACAACTCATTCCTTTTGGGAATTGGGTTTGATTCGAAGAGTCGCCACCTAATGATTAAGGTGCATTAGGACACCAAGAGAGTTTTGATTTGAATAACCAGAGATAGGGTAAGGGCTTGAAATTATTTTGAGGGGAAGGTATTAGGCACCCCTCAGAATCCACTAGTGTGGTTCCCGGCCAGACTATTATTGTGAATTTAGGTGTAAATTACATGTAAACAAATAAAGCTTCAAATAAGAGGGGATTTTCACATAAGGGTTTACAAACAAATAAAGTTGGAAAGAACTAAAAGAAAGCTAATTTTCCTTAAAAGAAAGAGTTTGAAATTCTTTTAAAAGAGACAAGAAATAAGGGAAAGGGGGTCCTAGGTTTATTAACAATATGGATCACCCCACACAATGCCCGGTAATCATTCCTCAATGAGGGGATACGCGTGGCATTATCGCGTGGTCATCATATCCATATCTACCCTTCCCACCCCGTTAAGGTATTAAAGCGCGGAATGGTCTCGTTTACTTATTGCATGCTATTACCCGTCCCAATCCTATCAGTCCCGGAGGCATTTAGGACTACTAATCCTAAAGAGGAGGGGTATTAGTCTTATTTGTAGTTTTTAAAGGTAAAAACTCTAAGGCGACATACAAAACACGTATTACAAAGCAGATATACCCACTTTGACAAAGAAGCACGTAATTAGCATGACTTACACATACTAGTTAAGGTCTGATTAAGTACTAAATATGAGAGAACTCAAAGGTTGAGGCAGACTGATTTATTACATAATTCAGATAAGAAGCCCGAATCAGGCCTGCCTGCTGGTTGTAGTTGTTAACAGAAACAGATTTAATTTATACCTTTACCCTAAGGCTTGCCTAAGTGTTGGACAAGGATCCTATAGGCAGGGTATCTATTGAATTCCAGAAAGCAGCGAAATAACAAGGTTTAAAATAAACTGGACACGTACTGGTTAAAAAAAGTAGTCAGGTTAAAAGAAAGGCCATTTTTTAACGAAGATTATAAGTTCTACAGTTAACAGTACCCGTTGTTACCGATTTTAGTTCCATGAAGCGGCTCAGATTCGATTAGGAGTTCCTATAGGCATGCTTTCTACGCGTAGTGGATTTTGAATGTGGTGTAGAATGCAGAAGACTCGCTTTAAACTTATGGACATGATATCTAGGTGCTGAATTTTTGTTTAAGACCTTATGAACATGATATCTAAGTGCAGAAATTGTTTAAAACCTATGAGCATGATATCTAAGTGCTGAACTTGTTTCAAAACCTTATGAACATGATATCTAAGAGCAGAAATTGTTTTAAACCTATGGACATGATTTCTAAGTGCAGAAATTGTTTAAAATCTATGAGCATGATATCTAAGTGGTGAACTTGTTTTAAACCTATGGACATGATTTCTAAGTGCATAAATTCTTTAAAACCTATGAGCATGATTTCTAGATGAAAATGGATATACAGGATTGAGAAGGACCTATAGGCATGATTTCTATATGCATGCAGATTTAAAATACCTATAGGCATGGTATCTACCCTTTTTGCATACATAGTTACCCACCCTTTTCACTAACCATCCCCAAGAGTTTATTACAAATTATTACAGCCCAGAATAAAGTAAAAATACATCAGAAAATACAAATAAAAGTACAACCAAGGAGAGCCTAATTCAGATTTCATGTCTGAAATATGAGGTAAACCAACTCCATGAGATCATGATCCAAAGCCTTTCTCCCATTTGAGTGTGTCAAAGTTCCCTAAGAGTCTCAAAGGAACTTCGGGCAATGCTCACACCCAAATGTATTATCAGATTGAGACAAGTGCAGTGTGGAAAGGCCAACCCTCAAGTGTCCAAGTTCAGAGGGAACTCAAAGGGTCCCAAGGCAAGGCTCACAAGAGGGGGGGCAGAACTTAAAGGGTAAGAAGGTGTGCAAGTGCAGATCAGATTGCTAAAAGGGAAAAGGAGAGGGAACCCGCTACAAATAAGTACACACAAGGGGTTCATGGGAATATGGAGATTGTAAAAAGCCTATTGCTTAGGCAAAGGCAGACTCTGGGCATGCCCAGCAATGGAGAGTGCTAGCACACCTATAAGCTTGCCAGAACACATGTTATTAGAGGCTAGGATCCCGGGGGATCAGATTTGATTCATGGACAATAACTTGCAGTATTGCCATGCCTCAAACCATAGCTTAAACACATGGGGGGGGGGGGGTTGGATTCATAGTAGAACAGGCAGAAAGAAATCAGTGTGCTAGAATGAGTGTTGAACTATACATATGCAGTAAACAGGGATACAAAAACAGTAAATAAACACATTGTTGTGGTGCTGAAACTTAAATAAGGACATACCAGTTTCAAAGAAATAAATAGAGAGAAAGCAAGCAACACGTCTTGTAACAGGCCACAGTATAAGCAAACAAGAGAGAATAATTTTTTGAGTGTAAGCGTAAGTTTAGAAAGACTACCAGTAATGCTTTTGTTAATGAAAGAGTCGTGTACTTATAGTGTGAAAAACATGCAGAAATAAGGTAAGAAAACAATTAAGGAACTGGGTATTGATCGCTCCCAACTATGCCTTATAAAAAGGACACGCGGACGTTGCAAATATAATCTGAGTATTTAGCCCAGAGTCGAACCCACAAGGAATTAACCTATCAATTACTTTTGTTGGACTTACTAAATTCTACGGAATCAATTTTCCAAACGTTATCAATAACCCTTGATGGTATTTCTACTAACTACGAATGACAGTAAATAAACCACTGAAAACTAACTATGATTAAAGTGTAAACAATTAAGAGAAGGTTCTAAGGCTATGATTTCCCCTATTGATGGAATTCCTTCCGGTTATGCTTCACATAGAATCACCAAATCATCTCTATCAATCATGAGCGCTTCTCTTACCGTAAATCTCTCCCGAGTAATTACGATAATTTACTAGATGCTCTCTCCCGAGTTACACTAGCTGGCTTTGTTTATTACAGCTCACTTTAGATTGCACCCAAGGCTTCGTTATCCCTAATCCCGCCTTTAAACCCGCAGTTATAGATCCCTCTTATATTTTGGGAGTGGTGTTGTTCAACAATTACCTAAATATGCACTCTCTCCCGAGTTATGCACACTAAATAGGCACAACTAATTGAGGATCTTGTCAATTAACTACAACAAGCACGTAGTTGAACAAATAGAGATTAAACTGGCAAACTATATTAACATAATCAAGAAGTTCATCCTTCAATAGGTTCCATCAAAACTCTAGACTAAGGATTTAGCTACTCATGACAAAACAAGATGAAAATACTAAATTATTCATAA